CCCATCCCCTCGCCCCGTCTCTCACTGTCGATTGCTTGGAACGACGACGTTACGACTGCGCTTCTCGAGGGGGACTTAAGTAATTCTACGCGCGTGTGTGCACCGGAGGCGGATTTTAAAAAACAGGCACTGGGAAATATTTGCTTGAGACGGGACCGAGTGACGAGCGCTGCGTCGAAAGTGCCGTCTCGGACTCGCATATGCCTCCGTTTGCTCGTAATTTTCCATTGAGTGTACAAGCCCCGTTGCTACTGATGCGCGGGCTTTCCATTTTTTAGCCAAACCTCTTGGAACACGCCTCGCTCATAATTATTGGCTTTTACGCGCCGTAATAGAACTAACGAGCCGAGTGACGGCTATCCGGGCTTTGGACCCCCGGCAACCGTTGTATTACCGAGGCGAGTAATGGGACTGACAGAGTCGGCATTTTTCAATAATTAACGTATTGAGCGTAAGAAACCCTTTACCGTAAATACGCGGAGTTTATGGTAAATCGCGAGCGATAAAAGTTCTGGCTACGCTTTATGTAAAATAGCGGCAGTGCTTCCTTGAAATATCCTTTATCGTTATTAGCTCGGATTGGTAAATGAGTTTTTGGAGCGACGAACATACAGGTATGTATGCCTCTCTATTTTAATTAGCAATGAACAATGAGAATTACTTTTATTTCGTCCTAATGCGACAAGGACTTAGCGTTAAAGAAGAAAGACCAGTTGGATAAAAATACGTGATAAAGGGCTACGTTACTTTTGGTTAAACAAATGGTTTCATTAAAGATCAAAACCGCGCCCCAACTACTTACTGCATGGCGGTACACGGCGAATTGCGAAGGGACTTGTAATTAAAGCAAATAGACGTCTAATTAATGTAATAAAATGACATTCGTATTGTAAAATTTGTTAGAGAGAAACTTGGTAATAATAATCCTTGGTAAGTTGATACAGTCTAATTTACATGAGAATCTTGTTATTTAAGTGATGAATATGATATTTCGAAATCTCGATTGTAATAGAATTTTATAACTTGAGCGTAAATTCAGTACAAACAAATGTCGCGATTAATGCGACGCATCGAAAATTTTTTTTGATAATATAAGCCATTCGTATCGTAACGTATGACAAAGATAAAATTAAGTTTACTAATTCTGTTTGGTTATTTTTCTAATGTAACAATGCAACAAATATATATATATATACATATATATTTTTTTTTTTTAATTATAATACTAAAATATACATATTAAAATATTTAACAATAATTTTGAATAAAAAAACATTTCTTTTATTCTAATAAGGCCAGTTTACTTACAACATTATTAGAATTATTGTAAAATTAATGACAATATAAATCATGGCTATAAATTTTATTGACAATGGATATATTGTTTTTTTCCAGTAAATATTATCTCATAATTTGATAAACAACTTTAATAATTATTGCAAAAAAAAATATTACTTGAAGATCGTAATATATACATAAATAAAAGAAATAGAATATATTATATATATTGTAAATCTATCAGTTATAACTGTGTAGATTATTAATTAATCGGTTAGATTAATTAATCTGTTTACATTATCCCGAGCAATAAAAAAACTTCTTAAAATTATCATTATTGATTGCTCAGGGATTGGAAATTCAAATTTCAAATGTGAGCAAGTAATCGATGTCTGTGTGCGAAGTAAAGTAAAACGGTTACTAATATTTAAGGAATGTGCTTGTACGTGTTATCGAAGCCAAGATCAAACATTTTGTTTGATTTACTGTTTTCATGGATTGAAGCGAGCGAAACGTGCTCGGCCACTAGCCGCCGAGCAAAATTCTGCTCGAGTGGTCAAGCGAGCGCTGAACTCACTTCAAGAATCCCGGCGGACGTTATTCTCCCGCCCCCTAATCTCACCAAAAGCTTTTCCCTTCGGCGGCACTCGCGTTGCGCCTCTCACATGCAAGTCAGCCAGTGGCGTTAATTAGGAGACTGTCAATTGCCTCGACGCAATTACCGGCGCATAATTAGCTTGTCTGTCGCTAGAGAAATAATCCACGTTCGTCGGCCTGAGCCAATCTCTCATCTTATCTCCCGCACACAGCCTCTGTTTATGTGTTCCCAAGTTTCGATACACGCGAGCTCCTCCTACAAACAGCGTCTCTATTCTAGAATTCGGATCGTGATTATTCGTTCGCCTTATCATAATAAATTTTCGGCGGATGGACAATAGCCGCTCATCGATTAATCGGCTCTTGCATTGCCCAGCCAATATTGCCTTTCCATCGCCTATATCGTAAAAAAAAAGAATGAAAAAAAAGCAAGAATTATCTCATGGTCCATGCAAAGATTCCTTTGTAATTGACTAATGCTCGGACTATTGTTACTGTAATAATGTAATTCAAAGTTTCTGTTCTTTCTCTCTTCCTCTCATTCTATCGCAATTCGAGCAGCTTCAACATTTCATTTATTTCTTAATTCATTGCATCGACTGCGCATTGCCATGCGGACATAATTAGAAATTAGGTTGAGAATTTATATTATAAAAGATAATTTGATTTGCGCTACATTTTCAACTGACAACGTTGGCTTTCAACATTATACCACATCGATATAATATATTTGCAGTGCAAAGTTAATAAAAAATATTTGTTTTAATATTGTTGGGCTTTACGATGCGACGTCGTACACTAGGGCACACAATGATGGCCATAAGAATTTATCGACTATTCTGAAGGCGCAAAGTGCAATTTCATATACAAAGAAAACAAAGCAAAGGACTTAGAAATATTTTAAAATGAAAATATATAATATTCATTATAATAATAATATATTCACTTATTTCGATTATATAGCAATATCATGCATTATACGATTCTTCAGACTTATTATTATATGGAGAATTGAAATTTTAACGAACACCGCATTATACATTTAGAATAACAAGTACATACAAATACATTATTCAGAGTGACTTTACTAGATATAGGAAAAACTTACAAAAACGGAAAGAGAATAAGTTATCATGTTGAACAGAAATAAAATGTGTGAAGTTCAAGTGATAAAAAAGACATTTACAATGACGCAGGCAAGTCTTTTAAAATACGAAGGAGCAGAAAAAACTATTTGATTAGCATAAATTTCTAGTCAAAAGTGAAATATTAATCTCACGTTGAATTACATTTTGATGATGTTGTTGTTGTTGTTGTTTCAATTATGTATTAAAGTTACGTTCAATTATATCGATATTAAATGATAAAGGGATTTAATCATTTTTATCATTAAATTATTGTACCCTCGATGGAAGTTCGTCGGATTAATCATCAAATTAATTGTACGATTTTGCACTAAGTACATTTGATTTAAGCAACTTTACGAAGCATTAATAGTTACCGATAATATATGATAGTGCGATCGTGGCACGTCGAGTGCAACTCGCAACACGACTCGTTGGCTAGTCTCGATGAAACTATAAAAAAAAAAAAAAAAAAAAAAAAAAAAAAATGAAAAAGAAAAAAAAGTACGTTCTTCCGAGTAACAATAATAAGCTAAACCAATGATTTTCATTGTTGTTTATGACTTCTTTGTGCTCAACGAATGACTAGTAAGAGTTAACCGATGATCTCCGGGCTTCTGGAATACCGATTTAATGATCGACAATTTGCACGATTGTTCATCTTTCCTTTTACTCGGGACGTTGTTCTCTTTCTCTAAATCGTTTGAGCTATAAAATAATCAAGTTTAACACATTGTCTTGCGTCTCATTCTCAGCTACAGCCGCTCAAGCAAGGCTAAACCAAGTCCTCGGCAAATATGTAATTTAGCTCAAACAGCTTTATGGACATGAAAATTTGTACAAATAAACTCTACTTAAAATAAATATAAGTATGTAATATACTTGTACTCTTTCCTCTAAATTTAGAATGAAATTTTACATTCCCGTTTTAAATATAAATTTCGGTAGATAATATGAGAATACAAAAATATCTTCTAACTTTAGACGTTGGGGACAAAATATTGATTTACATTGTATTGCAAATCAACAAAGCTTTAAGATCAAATTTAAAAATAGAAATACGAGACTTATTTCAACATTCAAATTTAAAAATCATGTACAGACTTCGAACATTCATAATTACCCATTTAAGCGTATTTATAAATAATAATTTTGTAAAAATACTTTTAATATCCCATTTGACGTGATAATATTTTATAATTATATAAAATTGCCGTTGGGAATATGTAAAATCTTTTATATTATTTTTATATCAATTATTTCGTATTAATATACAAGCAGAAATTTTATATATTATTTAATATTCGTAAGTATAGAAAATTTAAAAAAAGATACAATAAAATTCATGATTTATTGACTTACCTCAACTTCATATTATTGAAGATGAAAACGTGAGGTAAATGAAATTTTTATGTCAATGTGAATCTTAAATAAAATCACTGATAAATTTAACAACGAAAATATGTTTTTCCTTTTTAATGTAAAATTAGTTTTTATTCCTTAAAAACGATGAAAAAAAACTTATTTTCTTTAAATTATTCTTGAATGAAAAAATTGTATTTATGACTTTTTGTTATTATACAAATGAAATAATAAGATAATGAAATACAAGTTAACATCAAGATAACCAAAAAT